CAGAAGGCGGATAACAGGAAATAATTGCCGACTTTCCGCAGCCCAACTCCGTTTCACAACAACCTGTGAGGCCCTTGGTGACCTGATCGCCATGTGAGGCGGTGTAACGTTCGATAACGGGGAGACCATGAGGGGCAGCTGGCGAAGTTATATGGGAGATCTCACTACGGTATTCAATCCTCCTCCTTTTTTCATCCACGATTGGACCCGGGATCGGCGGAGTTTTAATTCTGAAATAGAGAAGATAATATCAGTAACAAAGCTTGTCTTGACTTATTAATGTCGGTGAGGGGGGGTAGATGCGTTATTTAATGACTCGAAGAAATTATAGCGGAATCTTTGGTTTCTGGTAAGGTTATATATGCGATACTGGTACGAGATAAGACCCTAAACTAACAGAGATCAGCAAAATCTGTAAAAGTTTTTGACTACTCATTTTGGAGAACAGAATGAAGAAATCGAACACGTCACATGCTATATCGGCCATAAGCTCGGATTTTAACAACTGAACTCCTTAATCCTTAATAGAGGGCTCGAATGGAACAGGTAAATAACTCATTCCCGCTAACTTTTGGACTGTAAAAAACGTCATTAACTTTTAATAACGACAATGTTATTAAGCAGGATTTTCCACGTCTTGACTAACACATTGGCGAAAAGAACGATTATCAAGAATTTTTTTTGGTATATTACATTCACAAGATTGTCAATCGAACCGTCAAGAGTGGTCTCCATTGTTCAGAAGGAAAACGTCACCACGGAAATATATTCAGATGATTTCTACAGGGATTAATAAGGATGGGGTTCGAGAGACGCTGGGTCATTTGGTTGTTCCACTGACCCATATGGAGTAAAACCTTTACTATGCTCAGTTAAGAAACGGAGAGTGAATCAAAAGGCCAGCCAAAGAATACATGGTTTCAAAGGAGGAAGGTAGATGAAACGCTGAGGAATGACAACTAATTCTTGCATATGTAATTGATTTTCGCGTTCCGGAAGAGAACTTGACACATCGATTAAGTGAAAGATGACATCATTGTTTCACTCGTTAGAAAAATGTCAGTCAGAGTCATAGCAGAGCTTAGGAAACTGCCATTTTACAGAGTGTAATTTCGCGTACATCGAGATGACTAACCCATTTACAGCTAATACCATGTTGTCGCTTTTTGTTGCACAAAACATTAGACATTGTTAATTATTGATGTGGGACATGATAAAACTGAAACTTCAACAGCTCTGTCCGCTGAACATCCATCAGGAGTTCGGCAACAGGAAACACCAAGGAACACTAATAATAATACAATAAGCACAAAACCACTATATGGAGCAGAATGGTGGAAAGTAACAGAAAGCCTCTTAAATAGACAGCGTCTTAAACCTGCAAGACCCAAGCGCTGAGGGAGATAAACTTCGTGAACAAAATGAAAAAGGCCACAGAAGCTATTTTGAGTTAAAAATTATGTTGTAGTAAGTAATACTGCTAGAACAAGCAGCTTGCCAATAAAAACTGAGAGTCCGTTGGCTAAGCAGAAACAAAAATAGAAAATTGTGACCCCGCGCAGTAAGAATGAAAAGTCAGGAAAGAATTATTGATGCGATCACGAACAACACAAAAGGATAAGCCCCCATACCCGCCCAAAAAGCATCATGAGGAAAACTGCACAATACAAATAACTGACCAGCATATAATCTGCATAAATAAAATTTAGTAAATTTTATCCTCTTTACGGGGACTAGAAGCCACAATTACTAGGAATCAGCGCTAAAAGGAACACTACACGCACCATGGTTTTATGATAAGTTGGATTCCCAGTGTTGATGATGCTCTCACTTATTACAACAGATCGATGATTAACTCAGTGATAAAGCCGTAAAATATCTGTTGTTAGACAATAATACAACAGAACTAAAGGTAATCGTAGTAGAGGATAAAGGTTACAAGCAAAGTCTGCATAAATAGACACTGAAGAAAGAAAACACGTCTACGAAGTGAAAACTGAACATACAAATATAAGTACATATAACAAACAGAAATAGCTAAAAACTATGGTATCAATCGGGCAAAATTATTTCATTCATCAGAATTACTTTATGACTGTTAGCAAATGCGATAGAAACATTTTACGAAGATAGTACTCTCTAGGGTTAACACCAAAACCTACTCATCAAATTCAACACTAATGAGTATCGTGTTTAAGCCGTAATTTAATTGTTAGTTAAAGAGCTTGTTTAAGATATTGGTAGGGTTAAATTCATAGCAAAATAACATGCATTATATAGAAGTAAGGCAAAATAAATCTAGCATCCTTAACATTTACAAACTACTAACTACTGAGTACCTTCATCATTTACGCACTTATATTCTGTTAGACTTGCTGTGCTAGGCGCAACAAGTTCAACAGAGTTTTCACTCAAAGAAAGCTGAACGCAACACAGTATGAAAAATTCGGGACTATAGAACATCCATGCGTCTTTGCGCTCTCGTTGAATAGAAAGCTAAGTATCGTACATCCATGCCACCTCAGAGAAAGATAGTGTTGCAATGTTGATATGCAACTGAGCTTTCAACTCTGGTTTTTCAGCAAAATTCATGAGTTAGTCGTATGCCTCCAACATCTACTTGTTCTATTCTAAATAATTTTTCCTGACTTGTTCCTGGCGATATCTGATATTGCAACCACAGGTACCTGTTGATCAATGATGCAAATGCTGTAAATTGTGCTGAAAAGCAACATGTCCATTGCACCAGCTGCCTCTGAAAATTTCAAATTTATGCAATCTTCTTGATAATATTTTAGCTGAGCTGATATTTGGTGCCAAGTTAAATAGAAATAATTGATATGTTGTTTATGCGTTGAAAAGTTTGAGCCATCACATACTATTCAGATAATTTGAACTAAATATTCTTATGTTCTGTGCGGTAAGTCTAAACATGCTTTGTACCTCTGCCGATGCTTCGGTTCCGACAAATTTTCTTAATGAGTCGCATCTGGCAATCTCGTTTGTTTATAGGCCAGACAAAAGGGACGCTGACATCAGTAACATGGTTGTTTTTGCTTCCGCTGTCCGTCGTGGGAACAGAATTTCACAAACGTGGCGCCGTTCACGCAGGTGGCGGCAAAAGACTGAAAAGGTTTCGCATTCGTTTAAGTTCTGCGTCATTTGTAGGGCATTACATTTTTTGGCCGGCCACCGATGAGAACTTTCTACGATTGCGTTCATGTTCACACATGAAAGGAATCATTTCTCCGTGTACCTGCGGACCGTCACACACAACTGACATTCACCTCCTTCGGAGTACCTGCATCATCTTTTTTTTCTCTTCTTTTCTCAGACGATCTGCTGCCATGAGTAAGAGTGAATGCGCTCTGAACGGGAGAATTATCTGAGGTAAGAGTACCGGTTTTTGCTTTCCGGATTTCTTGCGACAGTAAACAGCCGTACTATGCAAATTTGGTAGTTTTGCAAGTGCACCACAAAGTTACGACTTCTTAGTAGTACATGGCGGTAGCGGCGTCGAAAGTTGGCAAAGTTCACTTTTGATGGCAGAAAGAAAATTACCTCCGAACAAGTCTTTTGGAATGCTCCATGACGGTCTCCACTGCTCTTTAGCAGGTGGAGATGCCTTTCGCTCTGGCAAAATTATGGTGCGATTCTGACATGCATTTCCATGCCTTCAGGCAGAAGCGCCTCAATTGTAAAGGTAATATGCACTGGTTTTTTGCAGCTATAGCTTGTACCTTTTTATTTCCCTTTCCACAAAGAAGTACTCTTTCTGTATTGAAAAAAATGAGAGGTTACTGAATGACTCCATCAGAGCAAGAATTCGACGCTATATCGAATGAATCTGTTCCGTTAATTTGTTTCAATTGATTTCAACGTTGGTGACCAAAGGAAATCACACAAGGTTGAGTGTTTGACATTTTTGCCTGTGAATTATACAGACCTCTTGCGTATTGGCAGACGTCTATATAGTTTATTTACTATATTTTGTGCAGCATTCTTCAAGATCAAATTTAATCTACAATTTCAAAAGTTGTTTGCATAAAACCCTTAATGCCTGGACTTTTCTTTTACAACCTCGGAATAAGTCGCATGCTCATGTGAATTTATTGTGATGTGCAAGACCTATTACAGACTCTCACATACGTTTAAGTAATGTTGTACTTCATTTTAAACCGTGACAGTAAATGTAATTTTAGCATTAATTAGGAATTTGCAGCATACACGTTGTGCAAATTTTAGTCTTTTGTCAAGTTGATCAAGGGTGATTGCAGTCGTAAAAATGGTCAAACAGTGTGGTCATATTTTCCGTGCTCTGTGGCATAACCACATCAGAAACACCATACTGTCACTACTGCTTGATGGCAGTCATCTCGCACGTACCTCGGTTGATTACGCCGAATTGCGGTAGAATGTATTTATATCTCAAGCCAATTAATAAGATAGTTGATCGGTTTATTATATTCAAATTATTTTTCGAAGTTCAACAAAGGTTCAGATTTAATATCGATACTTGTTTCATGACGCGTTGATTTTTAACCATTTCTGCGGTACAGGACATTGTTTTTTTTTAATTTTGAATGATTTAAAGCGAAAAGGTCAGAATGTTTGCTTTCAGAAGCAGAGCGCTTAGTACGGTAGGAATGAAGTATTTATTTCAGAAGCGATTTTTAGCCGGTTGCAAAGTGTTCAGATCGAAAAGTGAGTTTTTATTAAATTCGTATAACTGAAATAAATAATAGTTTTTGATTCTAAAACTTGCTCTTAACTGCGACAGTCTGCCAGAATGAAGGGTAAGTAATTGAAATTCAAATGGACCAGTGCAATAATTTAGGATCAGTAGCCTGCGTCTGTCATTTTTCGTAGCCGACAACAGCATTGTTCATCAATGCAGAGGTTAAATGAGCTACAGCGAAGAGAGGTAACATTTAAATAAATTATTTGATGAAGTATAAAAGAAGCAAGTCTACGGTACTCTATTTAACCAAACGCTAAAGGCTGTTGGAAATGCGAACTAATTTGTAAAATATTGCAAACGGAGTTTTCAATTTTTTATCTAACACCATGTAGTGAACTTTGATTCATTTCTAGGTATGTAAGTGTAAATATCACGTTCTCTTGCGCGATAAACTTAAAATACCATCCTCAGAGTGGACTATTCCTTCTCAAGGTCGTTGTACCGAAGCATGTTGGGTGAAGACAGAATCGTTTTTCAGTTAAATCAGCATTTAACGCAGAACTTTTATGCTGCCGTGAGGTTAGAATTCCTACAGCTGAAGTACAAAGTAGACGGACTACATTTTCGGTGCCGTGCCACTGCATTACAACTAAGCTTGCGATATTTTAGAATATGTAGTATTTAAATGTGATATGGCATACCGTGTTGAGTACTGGTTGCTATAAAGCGGGAATAGAGTAAATGCACTCTTCAGTTTTGCGAACAGGATAATAACTTTGGGCGTGGTATTGAACTATTCCTTTATTCCGACTTTCCCGATTTCGATAGAAGTCATTATCGAGCATTTTACAATCATACAGTACAAACTGATTATAAAGTATGGGAAACTTAGGAACAGAGAATGGTTAAGAGTGCGGACATGTACAGCAAATAAAATACTTAGTACATATAACTCCGATGGTCTGAAGCAGCTATCAACAATGGTATTTTTTGATTCTGTCGTTGGCAGATATTATCTTTCATTTGCTGATACTGGATTTACACGAGGTAGATACGGTAACGAGATAGAGTGAAGGAAACTTGAAGGGGTAAAGCAGTTATCTGATGGGGCAGTGGGTGACATTAAAGAAACCAAGGGATGAAATTAGTAAAAGAATCACAGTTTTGATTTTCAAGCTAACCAGATGCCAAAGAAACTTGTGTACAAACTTCCCTTATTCAGAGAAATGTGGTAATTCAGTGTTACAAGTTTTGTTCATGTCATCCTCACTGTCTAAAACAACAGTGGTTTATGTAGTTTCTAATTTTTCAATCCTCCCTGCTCAAAGAAGGTACCCTTTAATTTATCATTTTCTCGAGGATGTCATTGCTTTCATTGCACTATACTCTAAAGCCGTTGGCTTTATGAGGCAGCCATTTTTTTCTTGTACGTTTTTCCCTTCGTTGCAGAATGATTTAAAAAAATATTCTTTTGCAATAAGAAATAAACTAATGAAATCGTACGATATAGTGTAGTGCAGTATAACGGAATGGAATAGTATCATATTTCATAAGGCCGTGTGATATAATGCATTATCTTGTTAGTGTGTTGTGTAGTGTCGCATAATGTAGAACAGCATGGTGCCTCAACAACGATGCGCAAGGCGGAAGTGTGAATGCAAATGTGTATTCAAAGTTGTAAGAAAAAAGTTAGCGAGAGTTCACAAATTCTGAGGCTGAGATATTCAAGAATTATGAAACTTTTCCGAGTGGATGACAGACAACGTTTCCGCCAAAATACGGGTCAAAATCAATATATATATATAAAATCATACATGATTTCTTTATGCGGGAGATGATATATATGATCTTATCCATACGTACACTGCCATATCGCCAAATATCGACCGTTGTCCCTGTCCGTCCCTAGACTAAAAGGACCCAGCAAATTGACTGGCACAACCTGCATATATTTTGACTGAGAAACTCTGAAGTCTGAACCAGCCATGAAGATCAAGGCACTGACGCGTGATGCTTTAAAGCCAGTCGCCGCGTGACTGAATTTAGACTGGCCGGAAGCAGAATTTGGAAAAGGGCATGTGGTCACTGATTCTGGAACAAGAAGCGCATACGAAAAAGGCATAATCTTTTGCTTATACAACGCCGCGATCAGACGGCTTCTGCATAGCAACTCTGAAAGCGAGTGTTTCACCTCCATCCGTCTAAAACACCCTTCCATTGAACATCGCCCTCATTTGGATGCAGCACCGACAAACCGGTGCCACTTATTTCATAGTCGCTATTAAGAACTAATGAACGTTGTCCTGAAACAGGTGATCCTACTCTTACCGACTGAGGATCAATAGCTCCTCAGGCAGACTAGTAGTTAACAGAGTTTTCAACCTCCAATTATATATATATATAGCGCAAGAATGACACTCGAATTCGTGAAGTGGTCAAATTTCCCTGGAATGGGGCCACAGTGGAGTACAGATAAAGAGGACAACTTGGAACTCAGGAAGTGCGGATCCGTTTAAATGCGGGGAAAACAAAACGTCCTAACCGTCAATTCCCCTCACGTTACTTCTGTACTACCAGAGTAAATTCGGGCAGCCAGTCCGTGACTTGTGAACAACAAGGGCAGCATGGTGTTCCGGTATGGTCACACATGAAACGACGAGGGGCATCGGCAGCATCCAATCTGAAGCGAGCTGCATATTAGCCGCGATTCGCCTTGACCCACCAAATATGCTATCCCAGCTGACTATCGA